CAAGCCGGAAGATGATCGGCCTCGGTTTTTCTCCGGCGGGTAGAGGCGACCAGGCGCAAGATGAACGATAGCGAGGCGCAGATCGCTAGAGACAACGATGGTCCACGGGACCCACACCGCCTGATCAGCGCCGGCCGCTAGTTTCGCCGCGTCGAGCTCGGTACGCGAAGGGCGTCGCGCTGGCATGGCCGAAGGTCGCGTGCGGTCTACAAGGTTGCTGGCGGCGGGTGTTTCGATTCGGATATCTTGCGGCGTTCGACGCGGTGGCGGATGGGCGACGCGTTGTGCTGAGGCGGTCGGAGGTCGTCGTGCCCGTATTACTTGACGCGATGAGGTCGGGCTTCGCGGCGGCGGAGAAGGGGTTTTCGTGTCGGCGTCGAGGGAACGGTGGCGGGTGACGGTGCGAATGCGTGGCGCGTGGGTCACGACGGTTGGGGGGGGTGCGATGGACGGGTCGTGTTCGGCGGTGTAAATCGGCAGATGGGAGGTTTCGTGGGTTAGTGTCTATGGGGCGGTGGCGGCCTTGTGGCGGGGAAGTTTTATCGCGTTGATTTACGGCCGGGGATTGGGCGGGGTGATGGAGGAGGAGCTGGCGGCGGGATGGGTATTCGTCGTCGTTGTGCTTGGAGGGGTGTATGCAAGGAGGGTGGTGTGAAGGGGAAGATCGGTGGTGTGCGATCGAGGGTGAATGCGGGGGGCGAGGGGAGGTTGTTCGCAAGTCGGGCGAGTGGGATGATTCTTCGCAATGGGGTATTCGACGGGGAAGGGTCGTCGTGATGTCAGTGTTCGGCCACTGCTGTTGGCGCGGCGCCGGAGATGAGATACGAAGTAATCGAGTGGCGATTTCGCCGACGGGTAGATGCTTGTTCGGAGGGATCAGCTCGGGTTAGCACCGGCGGTGGTGTACGTTCGTGCGGCCCGAGCCCGACCCTCAGTCGTCTGAGGATCATAAGCACGCGATAATAATCGCGCCCGGGTCACATTTCCTCAGTTGGCCGGACATGTTGTCCGCGGCATCCTCCGTACGGAGACGATTCAACATATTGTCGGGCAAGTCCATGGCGTGCCACGTGTCGGCTTGCCGCGTTGCTCAGGCCGCGCCCGACTGGTCACTGCTGGCGATACAAGTCGCTCTGCGATATACGGCGCTATGGAATGACAACGGGGGCCACGTGCTCGACGAGTCGCACCGGAACTCTTACGACGTCTTGACTTCGGGTCGGTCCACGTCGATCTTCAGCGGGCCGATGGAATCGTGGCCTGGTGTATGACTATTGCGGTGAGTTATCGTATTTTCTGTGGCATCTAAACTACTCCGGCATGAACATCGGGCGATTACTGACGAGCGCTGACTGTAGCGGTGCGAAGAGACGGGCCTGGAATGATTATCGTATGTCAGCCGGGTGTTCGTCGCTGGAATTGGTCATCGGAGGGAATGAAGGACGAATTCGTAAGACGGTGGACGATGTGGGAAGAGGGCGGGCAGTTTACAGGGCGGAGGTAGATGCGAAGGGGAGTAAAGTGCGGTGGAGCCTTCAGGTTGGCTTTCGCGGACGGGCAGAAGTTGATGCTTTCTGGTGAGGGTGGGGTGGTGCGCGGAGGTGAGGTAGGACCACCGCAGCCGGGAGCTCGACAGGTGAGAGCGGATGGATGACGTGGACGGAAAATGGGAGGCCCAGGGTGAGGAGTCGCTATCGCGTGAATTGAGGTGCAATTTGAGGGTTTGGAGAAAGCTGAGAGGGTTTTGAAGAGGGTTTTGCTTCGCTCGTAACGAAATTACGCCCCCCCTTGTTTAAAGACTCGTTAAAAGTGGGGGGGCGAGCTAGGGAGCGATGTGTATATGTTTATGTGGATTTCTAGCTTGGAAAAGGGCACGGGCCTTAAACGGGCCGGGTATGTTTTTAGTATGAGGGTGCTGTACATCTCTATCAAGTGCATGATAAATGAAGAAAGTGAGTTATGAAAATGGGAAGGCAGGCTATATTGTCTATTGACACGTATCTATTTGCGCCATGCATCATATTTGCTTAAAAGTGGTGTCACGGTGGTTACTAATAATAAGTTCACAGATTTTGACCAAAAAATGTTCAGTATTACTTATCAAATTCATCATTTTCAGTTTATGTCAAACAATTCATCTTTTAAGATTTTCTCAGAATAGAGCGACCCTAATCCAGCCGGCAAAGTGTATAGTCGTTTATTTTATTTTGTTGACATGGTCTAAAGTTTCCCCCTCCACAAATGTTTCCATCCGTCCAAATTATAGTTTTCCCTAACCCTAAATCCTAATCCTATCCTAAACAGATAATATATTATAAATTCATATCTGAATTATAGCTCGAAACTAATAACTGTAGGGCTAAATATCTAGGAAAACCCCCTTAACTTTAGATGATTATGAGATAACCCCAAATTATAGTTTTCTGTTGTAAATATTCTTTTGCTTCATGCACCGGCGTTATGAGATATACTTTTATTATTATTATATTTAATGGTTCGAGCAATTGCCAGGCTAATTAAGATGGATGAAACGATGCTGAGGTTTTCCTAGATATAAAAAACTGTAAATCCTAATCTACAACAATGAGGTATAAACCTCTTGAACTTTCGTGTGATTCGGCACAAAATTACCATGAAGTTTTAAATTTTGAGAAAACACTGCAAGTTTAATTGGAGAGTTTCTCAAAACCCCTCCTCTTTCAGTAAAACTGCAA